ATTCGGCAACTCTACGGTGCTCTCTTCATCCCGCTCCTCGATTCGTGAGATTGGCCTGGGTGTAAATTTGGATCCAGACATCGACGCAGCACGAATTGCTCGTAGAGAGCCTTGCAGACCTTTGGCGCCGCTAAATTGAGCTGAGAGAAGGGGAGGCGATTCGGAAGACTCGCCCGGCACCGGATCATCCTCCAGGCCTTCTATATCCTCAGGCAGCACGCCAAGAATAATCGAGGCAATGGGGGATGTGAAGGAAATCGTAATGTTACGACGCTTCGAAGACAATCCATCGCTGCTTGTCTTGGCCTTGAGAACGTGCAAACCGTTGCCGGCTTCCTCTGTAGCTTTAGAACCATCTCCTGGTTGAGCATCGAGCTTCTCAATCTCCCCTCTAGCCCTCTCGGCTACCTCAGGATCGAGGGGCTCGTAAGCTGCCAGAGTAGTATAGCTCTTGAGTGAATGTGTTTGGGCAGAGTTCGGGCGAGAGGTGCTGTCCTTGTTGCTTGCCACGCCATCGCGGCCTCGAGGAGTTTGCTTCAAATGCTGCATCTCCTCCGTCATATCCACGGACAAATCAGGAATGTTTGCAAATGGGTCTTCTTCGCTGTCGTCAGACCCTGAAGCATGGGACGTTATGGAGTCCTTGGAATCTTTGTTTCTTATCCAAATGTTGTTCTGCTTGTCCAAATACATGCCACCAATCTTGTCCGGGATCAGGTGCGAAACACTCTCAGGAGCAATGATTTTGCGTGATTCGGAGCCTCTGGACGAAGAAGTGGGGAACAGATGGCTGGTAGAGCGACCAGATGTGCTGGAAAACAAATCATGAACTGGACTTGTCGTTTCGCTTGCCGACTCAGAATTCGGTCCGCCATTGCCATTGGTCCGAGTACGGCTGGCTCGATCAACCATCCGCTCAACCTCCTTGGCCGCGCGAATTGCGTCTTTTGCGAGGCTCATGGATCTCACTGATGAGGAAATTACATCGCCCATGTCGCTCAGCTCCTGGTACTTCTTGAGCCGTTTTACGACCTCGGGGTCCTCTTGCTGTCGCGCCTGTCTGGGGATTGGCTTTCCATCTCGACTAGGCGGTCGAGAGAATGGCTCTGCCGTGGAATTATCGGACTCCTCCATTGTAGCGTTATGAGATGGTACCTTAATCTCCAGCTCAGACTCTTCAAGGCTTGACAGTCCTGGTTGACTAACCTGGCTGCGAATCATGGCCATGATTTGAGCGGCCTGGTCTACGAAATCTTGCGTTCTTATAGAAGGCTTGCGTTCGGCAGCTTTGCCAGTTGCATCCGGCTCAGCTTCCTCTTGAATTGACCTCGCTGCTGATCGACGTGCCTTGTTCTGGAAAACAGCCTCTGTCGGCGACCTCGATGTGTGAGCTGAAGAATGGGACCCGCGTCTGGACTCATATTCCGCATCTTGGTCGTCGGCAGAGTCCGAGTACTCGGAGAGAGACCGCTTCCGTTGTTTGCCGAGGGCACGGAGTCGCTTTTCGCTGCCAAACGCAACATCGGATCGATGGAGCGTTCGGCGGCGTTTTGGCGTCGGGTGCTTGGAAGGAGACGCTCTGGGCCGCTTGGTTTCGGATCCATAATCTCGCTTTGCGACCCAGGACAAATCGTAAGCCTCATCCTGGGGGGTGAGGGAACTTTCAGGCGAACTAGACATGTAATCGTATCCAGCACCAGTGTTGACGGAAGGGGTTTGAGATTTGCTCTTGCCACGGCTCCTGCGAACGTACAATGAAGCATCTTCAGGGAAGAAGGATTGTGGAGGAACAAGTTTTAATGCTCCCTTGACAGCCAAGGGAGGGTCTGACGGTGACTTTTCCTCCTTGTCATCCTTGTCATCCTTCTCAAGGAGGCTGGAATGTTGGCCGGCCAGGTGAGACAATTCGCTTGTGAATTCGAACCCTTCCAATTCACCAGCCCCAAAATGATTGACATACCGTTTCCTGCTGGCATCCTGGCTGGGTTCCCGGCTAGAAGGTGTGGAGGGCGAGGATCCCCGTGAGTTCCTACCAGACAAGTCTTCTTCGAATTGACTAATGCGCCGAAGCAAGGTCTGGTTGGTAAATGTGTCATACGGTCCAAAGAGTTTCAAAGGGCTCGAGTTGGATCGGTTGCCAGAATCGCGGATCTGCTTTTTATCGGGGCTTGGGAATGGAGCTTGAGGCAGATTCGGGGTGCCGAAAAAGGAGCCAAACAAGTTTGAATCGGCGTCTTGAGTCCGCAAGGTCGGAAATTGCTTGGGCGTGCTGGCTTGCATCGAATCCTCGGGCAGCATTTCTGACCAATCCTCGCCCAAGTCAGGGCTCAGGGAATGATGTCGCAGAGACCCCTCAGCCGACTCATCGCTCCCATGGGAAGTATCGAAATGGTATTTGAGCGAGGATTCATCATCTTCTGCTTCGTTTTGTGTAGGCTTCACATCCACTGCACTGTCGGAAGCATTGTGTGACGGGTCCAGAATCATTTGATTGAGCTGAAGCCTCTCGAGCTTTTCTCGCAATTCCTCCGTGGGCATTTCAAGAGGAGCAAATTCGACTTTTCCGTCCTCGTCACTGCGCTTGCCGATTAAGATAGGGCTGAAGTCTTCGTTTTTTGTGTAGCTTTGGCCGCTCGCTTTTCTAGATCCGCCATCAATTAAGGAGGGAATGGCGAGATAGCTATCGTCTTGAGTAATTTCTTCGTCTTGTTCGGATTTCTCTTGTTGATCTCCATCTTGTTCTGATTCTTCGTGTCGTGAATTTCCTTGCTCTGATTCTTCTTGTTCAGACTCCTCTTGGTCCAATTTCTCCTTCTCGGCCTTTTGCTCAGCCTCTTGGTCATCTTCTTGTTCATCCTCATCTTCCGTGGGAGGCTCAGAGGGGTTCATAGGACCATCGTTGCTCATGGTGGATATGTCCGAGGGGTCGTCCTCGACGTTGAGCTTGTATTTTATTTCTCGCTGAGGCCTCCTAGGGCTCGGACTCGGTGTAATCTGATTTGGCAAAAACATGCCTCCCTCCTCATCAGCATTGAGCTCTTCCGTGGACTCCAAGATTATCGTCGGGTGTCTCGGTGCCGGCGGACTTGAGGGCATATCTGTTTCGTATAAATCTGCAGTGTTGGGAGATTCGAGATGTGGAGGTTTGCGATCGGGAGATGGGGAATCAGGCATTGGTGACGGAAAGTCGAGGTTGGGAGATGGAGAGTCGGGCATTGGAGACGGAAAGTCGAAGTTTGGTGAGGGAGAGTCGAAATTGGGGGATGGCGAGTCGAGGCCGGCTTCACTAGGCGGCGGCGGTTTGAACATGTCCTGCAAGCCAACGGCTGCCGAGCTGAACAAGTCGCGCTGCTCTCCATACTCGAGTCTGCCCTGGACCAAACGTCGCTTCCATTCAGGTGTGTCAGATTTCCCCGGCGTGGCAGGCGCTCGCTGTCGGGCATCCTTATGCACAACGACGGAGCCGGTGGTTGTCGAGGAGACTGAGCGCTCAAGATAGCCCTTGTGCGCCGGCTTGCGATCCTTTACAAACTTCAGGAGGCGCTTCTTGGGGGATTTGTTGTTTTCGTCGGAGCTGCGGTCGCCCTCGAGAATGGTCATGCTCTTCTTCTGCGACGCCCGCGGAACCACGCCGGGATGCCGCCAACGCGGTATGCGACTCGGGGTGAGCTTTGGCGACGGTGACGGCGTGCCCTTCCTGGACGATCTGACGAGAGGGAGAGGCGCGGGCGAGGATCCGCGCTCCGACACCCAGTCCTCGGTCAACGAGTCCAGCCAGGCGTGCGACGACATGGTGAGGGCCGGTATCGATGATGCACACAGGGGATGAGAATCTCACGCCATAGATGGAGATGGAGATGGAGTATACGGAGTAAGTACTGAGTGCAGAAAAGATGTACGAGTATGCGGGGTTCGCGTCCAGTCCAGTCCAGTCCAGGCAGACAGAGGCAGTGATGCGACTGATGCGCGCGCACTCGAAAAGGGATCACGCAGAGGCGGCGCAGGGACAAGATATACTTGGGCGGGATCGGGGGGGTGGCACGAGGGAAACGCCGGGCCAGACGTCGACAAGAGACAAGATGAAGGCCGAGTATTTACCTGGTGATGGCATAGGAGCGCATGCAGGGGATTCTGGCGGGCGACATGATAAACTGTAGGAAACGATGATGCGCGAGCTTGAAACGGAAAAACAAAACAGGGGTGTTCATTGGCCGCGGCGAGGTTGCCGTGCCAACTGCGATGGGGCATGCAGATCACGTGCAATCTTCTGTAGCAAACGGTGCTTGGACGCTGCATCTTTAAGATTGGCCGAAATCTCGCAAAGCTTGCTGTCATTTAGCTTGCGACTGAGTTGAAATGGGCAGCGCTGTATTTTTAGCACGCCGTAAGATGATGCTGCGATGGCCGGGCATCACCGTTGGCTTATAGCTGTAGCTGTAGCTGTAGTTGTAGGTACCTTGGCTGTCACCGTAACTGTACATGGCGGTGTCCGGGACTGAACTCAACTCAACTCCTTATACGGAGCCCGTACGGAGTAGGTAGGTACTAGTATTCACCGTATGTACATACAGTAGCTGCAACGAACTCCTTTTTTCCATATGCACGCACGCGCATTAGTCGAGGAAAAGATGACAATCCCCCATGCATCTCCATCTTCATCTCCATCTTCGTCCTGCAGCTCCCCCCCAAAAAAGTGATCCGCTCTTTACGCGGGCTCACGTGACGGCGCGGGACGCGTCTTTCGTCATGTGCGGACCGCGATAAGTGCAACTTCTCGACAAGACATTTCCAACGTCCAATTTCCCACCGGCTCGTGCCCTGCCTTGCCCTTGCGTCCGCCATTGTCGACAGCACCAAGACACAGACACAGACACAGACACAGATGAAGAGTTGACCCTCTGCGTCTCTGGCCCTGCGCCCCCGGTGTCGTCAATCCAGCCTGTCCGCCATCGATTCTCGCCGAATAAACCGTTGATGCCTTACCCTCCGCCACGGCCCCAATGCTGCCGAGAGACTCCATCTACAGCGGGGCGGTCTTCCCGCCGCAGGACATCTACTATGAGGGGTCCGAGGACGAAGACTACGACGATGCGGAGGCGCGGAGGCTGAGGTATGAGGCTGCTGGACAGCAGTTCCTTGCCGGCAGAGTTCCGATGCTGCTGTCTGCAACCTTGAAAGGCCCCTTCGACGAGGAATCTGGCTGGGTGAACCCGTGGCGGTCCAAGAATCGCACCGCCAATTCGCAACGTCGGCCTGAGTCTCAGCCTGCAGGCTCGCAGTATAGCCTCAGGCGACCTATGGTGTCTGCGTCTGCTTCTCCAGTTACCCAGAGGCAATCGATAGAGGTCCTGAAAAATGCCGAGTGTGCTCTTCCTAGTCCGGAAAGCCTCAAGCAGGCACCTTTCACTGAACCACGTCCGCGTCTCCGAGGCAAAGTCGCTGGTCTATATGGTTGGGAAGAGGACGATGCTTCTCTCTCGCCAACCAAGGATGGCTACGGCTCCTGGGCAGCAAGTTCACCATTACAGAAGCTGAGCAAGAGGAAATCAAAATCATCGATTGGCGCGGATAGCACATCGAAGAAGCGTCGTAGAGTTGAATCATCAGAACTTGAAATCAAGACTCCCACCTCAGAACGACGGCGGGCTAGAACAACAAGTGCCAGCGAACAACGCACAAGGGCTTCAAGCAACACGTCGATATATTCGCATATTCGGGAGCTTACTTCGAAAATTCCAAGACAGGACCTATCCAGCGAAGAGGGCGATACGTTCGACTCTGACGACGATGAAACTCTCATTACTCATCCATCCGCTGATGCATCTTCAACGCATGTGCCGAATCCATCCTCCTCGCTATCATCTCCATTTTCGCAGCCCAGCTTCTTAAGGGCACTATCTCCCGTTTCCATGTCCCCAGCGCAAACACCATCGAAGCAGAGAGTTCTGGCAACCCAATCGCCCAGCAAATCGCCTAGCCGCCCGCGGTCTTCGAGTGGTGTATCTTGTCTGTCAGAAGCTCCAACAAATCTATCTGACCTCTCAGATCTGGATGCGCTAGGCGCGGGGGGTCATGTTGACGATGAGGCTCATGCTTACGACAACGCCGCAGCACCAGAGTCTCACTCATCAGAGGAAGAATTAGAACGTTCGCCACTTGAATTCAACGAATGGGCGAGTGCCAGTGCTACCCAATCGCTCCCGCGCGCAACCACCCCAATCGACCCCAACCATGATGAACCCACATCATCTTCAGATGATGCAAACACAGCCCATAATACTGGGGGTGGCTTTATGAATGGTCTGGAAGCAAACTACGCAGCCTCCCGCGGATTCATCATGCCCTTCGGTGCTACAACACCTACACGAATGGCTCATCCAATAATATATAATGATGCTGACGGACCTAATGACTTGTCTCCTGACTCTAGTATCACAGCTTTATCGAGCGCACAACAGCCCGCTGCTAATCGGACTGAAGCAGCCAATGTTTCCAGAGACTCGCCAGGCAACAGTAGTCCTACAAAGACAAAAAGCCCTACTAAATCATCCGCTCTTCAGTCTTTGAGCCCTCGCAATGGTAGAATCAACTCGCGACCTGCTCCCAACAAGATTGCTCAACCTCATCATTTATCGCCTATCAAATCACCCGCAGCTGCAGACAAGGCAATCTACTTTCAAGAGGAAGATAGCCAGCGGGCAAAGGAGAATGTCGAGTCAAAAGGAACAAGAGAGAATCCATTACCACAAGTTATGAGGGCCAATATTCCGATGTCACAGCCCGGCCTGAGCGAAATTGCTCCGGACCTCACCTGCAAGGCCGATCATTCGAAAGTAGACAAATCCCAGGAAGAACCCGTGGCTCGCGATACTGCAACATTTTCAACAGCCTCCCTTTCCAGCCAACTGCCGATTAAAACCGCCCCGCCCACAGAGATGGATAACACAGCCCAGCTCATTGTGCTGCCTAACACATCGGAGTTGGCAGAACCAAGTCTTGCCCAGGGACAGGGGGAGGTCTCCGCTGATTCGCAATCTTCAGTTCCCACAGAGGAGGATGCTGGTCTGGACATGTTTGGGGCGCACACATCAGAAAAGGCCGCCGATTCCGAGTTGACAGCCGTCTTGGCAGATGATCATGGCCAGACACCTCTACAGGAGCAAGAGAATCCAACCCTCACACCTATCAAAGCCAGTGAAAGTCTTGTCATACCACCACAGAGTGTCATTACAGAGCAGCCATCTAGTGAGGACTTATCTCTGCCAATCGAAACCGTGGCAGAGAGACCATCCACACCAGAGCCGCGGTTCGCCTTTACGTCCTTTTCGTCATTCATGTCGCCTTCTCCCGTCCATCGCCGGCAGACACGCTTTTTTACAGGTGGGACTTGCAACAATGTCGCCTCTACATCACATGGTATCCTCGTATCCAGCAAGAACAGGGCGTGGAGAAGCACAACAGCAAAGAAGCGAGTTTCCTGGGCCCCCTTACCGCATGAGACGGATGGCTCTGGCGACAAGACTTCGTCAGAGACGGACACGTCATCATCCTCGTCACGAGGCAGGGACCGAGCAGTTTCACCACCTCCACCGCCATCTACAAGCCTCGCTTCTGATTCGCTCACCGAGAGAGACATGAAATTCAGCCATCACTTTGCTGCTGTAGCTGATCGTTCAAAGGGCACACAACCGCAGAGCGTACCAACCACATCAGGCCATGGATCTCGCAGCTCCGACCGGGGCCGGCAAGCCCCCGTTTCTGCAGTACAAATCGCCAGTCCGACTCGAATCAACGGGCCTTCCAAATTGAACTTACACAGAGGGGAGAAGGGGTCGGCCAAGGTGACCAGCCGCGGATGGGACGATGACAACGACCCCACGGACATTGTGCAGGACATTTTCAACGAGATGGACGACTTTTTGCAGGTCTGGGATGTCGACGCCGAGCTTGACGAGGCCCGGAAAGCCGAAAAGGTGCAGGCTGCTGCCGGCAAGAAGAAGAAGGCTGAAACTTGGTCCGACCTGGACATGGATATGGGTATGGACATGGACATGTCTGCACAATTCTTCTGAACCCCCTTCTCCCAACTATACACTAAAACATACAAGAAACCACCCACCCCCATGATATCACCCAACTGTCATTGAGCATAGCGTGCGAGTATCCGCATATACGACGTGTCCGCCTGTCTTACTTTTATCATTTGTTTCTTTTTTACTCCTTGCTGGAGCTTGATGTTTTCCCATTCATGGATGAGGAAAGATTGTTTTTGTTTTCGGCTACAAATGTAACATCAGATATAGCATAGCATAGTAGGTTAGTACTTCATAGGTAGTGATGTATTCCCTCGCCATTTGTTTTTTCCACTTCCTATTGTATTTTGCGTATACGAAACTTTGTCATTGCTTTTTAACTTTGTCATTAATGGCTTCTAAACCTTGAAACGGAGCAATTGTGAATTGAGTGTTTTGTGGGGGCCAGAAGTCGTTCGTAGGCTTTGTGGATACGAGCGAAATATACCCTGATGGCCTGGTAAATATATTGCCGAGGTGTATAGCAAGATGACTGGCAAATACAGCATCGACCTTATCAGTCCTCTTCCACATCATCCTCGTCTTCTTTGACTCTCCTCTCGTTCTTTTCTTTCAATTCTCATCATCAGGCTACTCTCACCGACGATGCAAGGCCACACTAAATCTATTAACCTTTTCAACCCGCCAGATTTCTCCAGGGTAGGCCAAACCAGAACCAACAAAAACGAAGCTAAAGCACCCGACACTCTGCATCGGTACTCGTATAAATGGGCAGCGATGCAAATGGTGGCAATAGCCATCACCTGGTCAAATTCTCACCTACATCAATGGCCAGGGAAAAGCCCCAGGCACATACATACGATACATACATATATAGCGAGATGCCTGCGTCTAGCGGTGGAACCCCGTTGCCCCCCAAAAGATGACCTGGACTTTTTGGCTTTTTGGTCCAATGGGTGCGGTAGGACAAAGAACGTGGCGTGCTGTGCTGGCCCGACGACCTTCATCTGCTTGTTGTCTCACTGCTCGTTTCCTCCCAAGGTAGTACCTGATTAGCCTATACATGATTGGCCTACTCACTACCTACCCAATTGATCAATTGATGTGTCCTCTCCTGTCCTGTCGGGTAATGCAGCAGGATGGCGGTGGGAGCATGGATGTCACCTAATCGACGCGGGCCATGTGTTGAGAGATGTCTATCAAACCACTTACAAAGAGCCCTTTTCCAAGGAGCTTTATCCGAGTCGACGCATTGGACAATCACCATTTCACTGCAGCCTTTTTGCTCCTCACAGGCACGCCGGATAAGCTGCAGGCAAATATCCGAGTGAAACTCTAAAGCAAGCAAGAAACGCTTGGTGACGTCGCACAAGGTACAAAACCGATGAGTGGAACGACATCCGACCTGAGAGAGGGAGGGAGGGCGCAATCTGTTACGAAATCAAGGAGGAAGGGGTGGCATCTTCTATTGGCAGATGCAGATCCCCCTAGCCGGCTTGTTTTTTGACCTGTCTCCTTTCTCCAGACCTCGGGGTGGGCAGAGGTCTCGGCCAGCCTAACCCTAATGATTAACATCCAGTAGCATTTGAGGATTCTGTGTGGTGTCGTTGTCTATTTGATATGAATCAAAAGGGATTCCTTGGGTTACCCGTGAACCTAACTCGCCTCATTCATGGTTTGCAGACGTCATTTGCTCAAACACCGAGGCGTGCGCATTTGCATTCAAACGAGTACGAGAACAACGGAAACGGAAACGCTGTCCACCGGACGCCTCACGTGGTAGAGGTCGTAAAGCGATTTGGCTGCGTCGTCTGTCCACGTGCCCCAGAGATCGCTTATCTGAGCTAGAAATCAAGGTCTAGATGCTTTGCCTCTCGGTAACCCGGGACGTGTTCGACGTTTGAGTACTCGTAGTTGTCCCTGATTGCCCGTCTGGGGGCACAAGCGTGATGCTTTAGATGGAATTGAGATCCCTGTTTAGATCCAGGAGATCGGGGACACCGCAAGTCTGGTGGTCCGCGCTCGGTATGGGATCGTAGCTGCAACATGAATGAGTCCGCATTGATTGTCTGACTCTTGAGCTTCAAATGTGTGACGTGGATGGCCCGAGGATGCGTGATGATGGGCGGTGTCGCTATGGGATACACCAGTCAGGCACTGTTGAGGCACACGTGCGTGGGAGAAGGGGTAGGGCGTCGTTGAGCTCGGCAGCTTATTGTTGGAAATCCAGGCACCCCATTTTTTGAGTTTTGCAGAGTCATCTATTTTCTCCCCCCTTTTTTTTGTTGGTTGTTTTCCGATTTTCTTTACGGGCGTGTCGGTGATGCAATTGTTCACGAATGGTTGCTCAGGATTCGCATCGTGGTCACCCGGCTTCCTCGGGGGTGAGTGAAGTGGTCTGGTTGCCCGGCGGTGGCGTAGATGCATATGCAGCCTGCATTTCAATTGGTAACTTGGCGTTACCGGTGAGCCCGCGTTGCAAGACAAATGTACATGTACTGAAGGCTCTGTCTGTGCTCGGCGAAGCACGTCACGAATGCCGTGCGACATGACATAGGTAGGGCTGCATGTCGGCTGTCAGTTTGCAGTCGCCGTCCGGAATCCCTGGCTCTCGACGGCGTGCCCCGGTCGTTGAGATTGTCTTGAAGCTAGGCAAGGCAGATTGAGAACTCCTCCGGGGAAGGCTTGACTATGCCGAGCAAGTTGAGCCCACTTAATCAACCCCTTTGTCCTCGGTGAGAGAACAAGTCGTAGGTCAACTGATGGGCGGTTTCTAGTTGTTCCACGTGGGTTGACATGACGTCCAAGCTTCTGGAAGACGACCTGAGGCGGTGGAGACGTGAATTGATGATTGCAGGGCCCCGTGCGCGTCATGACCATTGCATTTCGCTGTGATTATGCGGTCTGATGGCTTTGCCGAGGCAATCAAATGTCATTGATTTTTTCTTTTTCTTGGGGGCGATGCACAAGAGTCTGAGGAATGCTACTGAGAGATTGATTGCGGGTCTGAGGCGGCGGCGAGAAGGATAAGAGAGCCCAGAGGTGAAAGGCCGGCCATTGGATTGGGCACCGGCGCCATCAAGCCACGTATTTAATAGTGCTGGGCTCTCAAACTCTCAAGCACCAGACTCTGTGCCATCCCTTACATATTAACGTCAGCAGAGTAGCGGTGCTAGCAGTTTAGATTATAATGTTCCGTACCTGGTTTGCCCGATAAGCTCGAGACAACAAAAGGTTGAGCGAGGCGTTATCAGTTAGAGCGCCGGCCTCCATACATGTGAGGTAAGCAGGCCGGGGATCGGGTTCGTATCACAGCCAGCCCAGAGGGAACAAGGGCGTCACGGTCCCGCACAGGGTGTCGGAAGTGGAAGAGATTCCGCGATGCTTGGGCGAATAGTGGCTCCAGCTCTGTCTGTTTGAGGCTCGTGTTTGCTCATGGACGCTGGACTGGTTGTTGAGCCGTCGGCTGGAGAACCGGCATCTCAAGTGGCGTAGGCTGTTGTTACATAGAGCGGTAATACAGAGCATAGAGCAAAACATCTATTGGCACGGCAGAGTCTGTCACAGCAAAGCAGAGCATACAGACTCGGCCCAGGATGCCGCCATGTCTCGCTTTTTTGGCCTCACCGATGCTTTATCTTTTGCATGTGGGTTGCATCTCTCCGCGTTGTGTTGCACAGAAGGGGAAGCCCCGCTATCAGGGCGGCGATAGCAGGCGGAGCTGGTGCCCAAGGCAGTAAGGACGCAAGTACAGATGCATGGGATTGCTGTACTCGAGCGAGATAAGGGCCATGGGAGGTATATGGTTGAATATCTAGATGTCAAGTCTGGACATCAATGGATGTACTTTGACAGCTTCACATGGCAATGCGGCTGCTGGATCCTCGCCCAAGCCTGCCCAGCTCATCTCTGGCCGTTGGAGATGGCTATTGGCCGTTATCAAGACAGTCAAGCATTGATTCGAGCAGTGTGTGAAACCGGCTGGCATCGTCAATGACAGATAGGTTAGTAGTCAGCAAATAACATTGAAGTGATACAGCCCGGCCTGTAAGCGAGCTTGGATCTCTCCCTTCCATATGCTTCGGCCGGCTGCTGGGGATTACTCGTACAAGACGGACAGGCATGTGGGCTTACGGCAGCAATCAACCTTGAAATCAGCAGTTGTCCGAGTCCATTGCTTCCGGGCTTTGTCGAGCATTGCATCGATCCATGGCAAATCCACATGGAAGGAACCACGATTCAAGATGAAGCAAGCAAGCAGGGCCCAACACGGAATCGTCAATTGAATCGATCATATTGGATGTATCAGCATCAATCAATTCGAGCCACTTAGACCCCGCAGAGGCGCCGTCGATATGCGTGCTTCAGCAGTGATCCTTGGTCCCCCTCCCACTGACGGCACCAGCCCCGCCCCTGAAAGAGTTGCGGCTAGTCGCCATCATGCAACCTTGAACGTGCTGCCAGGCGGTGGGGATGATTCGGCAGCCCATCAATCAATCAACGAATCCATTTGATGGCTGGGGATCAATGGAAGTCGAGGGCAGGGGGGGGACGCTAAGCGGGCAGGAGTGCCCTGTGGCAGCGCTGTTGGGAGTGGCCGTAGCAGCCCGTGGCCAGTGGAGGTGCAGTGGATGGAGTGCCCTGTAGCGGCTGCCGGTACAGCGCTGTAGCAGCCCGCTACGATTGCACTGCACCAAGTCAGTTGAGTGAGGTACCTCTACTAAGGTACTAAGGTACATGCACGGGTAGGTACATGCGCACATGTACCGGCTCCACCAACAAAGAAAGAGGGCGGCGCGCCTTTGAGTTCCCCCATTCATCTTTACCTGAAAACCTTCCAATTCCACCTCTGCAACCTCCAATCCCCCGACTGCTAGTCACCGTCTGCCACGAATCAACCCGCCCACGCAGACGCTCTGCCGTGCCAGATGTCCTCCCCATGTCCAGCTCGCCCTCACCCGCCGAAAATGCCGCACATGCGGCGCTGCTGAGCTCCCGGGCCCAGGTCCAGGTCCAGCCCGACGACGACGACGCAGGCG